GTTCTGATCAACAGATCTCTCTTTAGGCAAGCAGCAGCACTGGCAACAGCCAATCTTCTGTTACGAATCATGCTGTTTATGATTTTATTTTTCATTTGACATAAAATCTACCTGCTATTTACTAAACCTCTAGACTAAGTACGTGGCAAAATGTGACATAAAAGAAAAAAAGAATCAGCATAAAGCTAGTTGTTAAGTAAAACGTAAATAAAATGCCCTTAATCTTCTTTCAAACTATTACTTATTTCAAACTATCTTCAAACTATGTCCAACTATTATACGTGTAAAATATTTAATGCTACCTGATAAATTTTATTAAAGTGGATTTTATTCTCAAATTTGTTTTATAGTTACGTTTATTAAATTATGTTTAGTAAGAATGCATGCTACTTACGAATCTATTTTATTCTTAGAGGGTTGTTACAAAAACGGAGTTTAGACACAAGTTGGCTGAATTTTAATTGAATTTATTCAGCTCCCATTTGCTAACAGGTCCTTAATTTTTTTCATTCATGGTCCGTAAAAGTCCTTAAAAGTACTTAATTTCCATGTGCAGAAATGTGTACGAACTCTGTAAAAAAGAACAAATATTTAAAGTAAGGACCAGAACAAATGAACATGGGGACAAGTCTTATATCTAAGATAATCTGGGTATCTGTGTCATGATTTATAACTACAGCTTGGATAGCTGCTTTGAAATCGACTAAAATAACTGCTTTCGAGAAATAGTCGATCTTTATCTTGAGGTTTTTCAGAGCTAGTAAGATCTGGAAAATCTCAATTGCTCATTTTTCACGTCTTCTAATAAATGTATTAATGATAAATAAAGTAGGCTTCGTATTCCGAAACTTTTCATTATAAGGTATTTCTCCCGCTTTCCTAACGTGCTTTCGTGGTGTAGTGGTCAGCATACTAAGCCGATATTTCAGAGACCCGTCGTTCGATTCCCGGCCAAGGCGGTTTGCTATTTTTCATCTCTTTGGCTTTTCCAACTAACCTAATGACTTTACAAGTGGCGCCCAAACTAAAAGGGTTGTGGATGATGATTCTCCGCACCCAGGATTAGGCAATTAGATTCCCTAAAACGCTAGTTGCCCTTTAAAAAGGGGAGTATGTAAGGTATTTCTCCCACTTCCCTAACGTGCTTTCGTAGTGTAGCGATCAGCACATTGAGCCGGTATTTCAGAGGTCCGTGGTTCGATTCCCGGCGAAGGCGATTTGCTATTTTTCATCTTTCCGGTTTTTCCAATTAACCTAATGACTCTACATCATGAGTCCATTCCTTAGGCGACTTTTTCAGTAAATGATCATTATTTAGAACAGGGTTTCTTAAGCTGTGGGTCGCGATCCCCAAGGGGGTCGAAAGACCTGCAGAAGGGGGTTACCAACATTTTAGCTATTTTGATATGTCTTTAACTTATTATAATAATTTTACAATTACCAAATATTTTTACACAATGTATCTGAAAATAGATAAAGATAAGACAATACAGACAAAGGAAAAAAAAAAAACGAAAACGTTTCGACGCATTCTTTTTATACTGTAAACGTTCATTTTCCTTGCTTTGCACGTGACGCTGTCATTTCGTCAGCTACTTATTTAAAAATTTTACATTGTTCTGTCTCTTAAAATTAGAAATGAAAGTTAGTGACCTAAAACTGCAATAGCATATTACATTACAAGTGAAAATATTGACAGTTTCACTCAGGCGTGTCTCGGATTTGCGCAATACTATTGCGGTCCCACAAAATTTTTGTAAATATTATGGGGTCCTGGGGGTCGCGAATAAATCTCCGTCATAAAAAGGGACCGCGACTGAAAAAAGTTAAAAAAAACCCTGATTTAGAACATAAATATATATCGGTGTTGAATATCATCTATATAATGTTATTAATACCACAGAAGACCCAAACCATCTGGAACCGTGGTTGGTCGTCTTAAAGAGGTTTATTTGAAAGTATGTTAAAATGATGACTATTCATAACAGGTGAATAAGTTTGTTTTAGTAACAGAAATTCTTACGAAGCTGAGGCGATGAAAGTTGTCAAGAAAATGAAAACGTGAACCCTCACGTGACGCCAACAAGAATTCCCGTCATGCGAAATCCACATAACGGTAGTTAAGTGGCTACTACAAAATTTGTGTTCATTTCGTGTACAAAAGTTACTTCCTTATTCACCGGGTACAGACAAATAATAATACCTTGATAATTACATGTGTAACTACTGCCACTGTCTTTTAGGAAATCATATAAGTTCCAAATAGCTTTTCTAAGTTCGCAATGTTTAAAACGTACTTAAAATTAAATAACTGATAATGCGTGCGTAAATTATAATACATAAAACATACATAAATTTTTATATATAAGCCATACATAATATGTTGTGTATGATTTAAATTATAATAACAGTTGTATTTAATATCATTATAATGAACCCTTTTTAAAGTTTTGTGTGTTACCTTTACTTATTAAATAGCATGTTCTTCGCACTTAAATCATAAAATTCAATTCAATAGATATATTGCAAAATTATTTAAAAAGAGCCTATCTTTGAATTTCCGATAAACTGTCTCCGCGCTGGAGATAATTGTTTTCCCCCCGTACAGCGTTGCCTCGGCTCGCTTTGAAGTCGTTGAGTTTCTTAATTCAAAAAGTCCTTAACGTTTGATAAAATATGAAATGGATAATACAACACATTCCAAATTCCGGCTTCCAGATGCCCATATTCGAATGGAGGACTACGTTATTCAAAATTGGATGTCTCTAGCTACCGTTGTTTTTTCACAGTGCGAGAAACATATATACATTCAATACAGATTCTTCATTATTTAATTTCTGTATTCAGGGCTCTAATATTGGGTCGCAACAATTTGAAAAGTGAACCGACATTTATAGCGAACGGACGCAAAATGCCAAAATGAAATGAAAAGCCCTTCTGGGCAAAGTGCTCCTTTGGGCTTAAAAACAATTTCAATTTTTTAACGACTGAAAAAAGTTACAATAACAAATTTTAAAACGAAAAAAAAAAAAAAAAAAAAAAAAAAAAAAAATCAATTTTGGTTACTTGAAAGGGGCAAAATAATGGCTTAAATTCTCATCCGTTTATCTGGACAAAGTTATATTCAGTACCAACCTTGGTGAAAACGTTCATGGCAAAACTTGCGCAAACGATTTGGCTAATATAGAAGAAAGAAATTAGAAAGGAAAACAATGAGGCTTTCGGTGAAGTGAAAAAATGGATAATAATGAAAACGCATTCCTAAAGAATCTCTTCAGAAAAATGAAGTGAAAAATTTTAAAAGTGTACAGTTACTGTTAAAACTCCTGCGTATAATTTCGTTGCTGTCCTACGAGAAACTGGGACAAAGGTTCAAGGAAAATGAAGTCAAAAATATGATATCGCTGTTACAACCCAGATATCTGATATATTCTAATAGGGCCGAAACATTTTAGCGTAGCCATGGATCGGAGATTAGAGTCCCCTTGTGAATAGCAATTGAAAAGTTCTGAATTTGATGATCTCGAATCAATATGATTTTATACTTATTTCATGCTATAGTATTATATAATGATGCAGCGAATCTTCTCCGAGACGACCACCTACACTTTCAGATGATATAAGTCTTTTGTGGAAGTGGTTGATTAAATTTGTTTATTGGTATTTTCTCCCTCCTTCCGGCATGCCTTCGTGGTGTAACGGTTAACATACTCGACGCGTATTCGAGAGATCCAGGTTCAGTCCCGGTGAGGGCATTACTCATTTTTCATCATTTCTGCTATATTAAAAAAAATTAAAAAAAAACAACTAATAACTTTACAGTGGCGCCCGAACTAAAAAGGTGGTGGATAATGATTCTTCACAACCAGGATTTGGCGTCTGGATCGCCTAATCTCCAGTCGTCCTTTATGAGGGGGTATTTTATCTCTCTTCCCAGCATGCTTTCATGGTGTAATGGTCAGCACACTCGGCGCGTCTTCGAGAGATCAGGGTTCGAGTCCCATCGCTCGTTTTTCATGTACGCCTGCTTTAAAAATAATTTAATGACTCTACAGTATTTTTACGTGCGTATGGGTTCATAATAGGTTGAATGCACAAGTCCGATAAAAGATTATTAAAATTAATTTTTATCAAAAGAAATGTAACAAAACGTTGGAATTTTTCTCAGAGATATTCGTAGAAGTGTTCACAATATCAGGCAGTAATAATCAGTGGAACGGAAATACGTTAAATAGAACGCAATTCACAGCACATTTAAAGAGAAAAGAAAGCTAATCCGATCTCAGCGCGAATTCGCAACAATAACAACAGAAGCTAACTAAACAACTGAGCTGAGAAGAGACATGACTTTATTATAGCTTAGCTAGAACGAAACTAGCTTTTTGCGGGCTCAATAAAATACAGATGCACTAGGGCGCTAAAAGTAGAAAATTATACTTGATCCAGAAATTACACATCATGAAGCTAAGTGAGCTGAGATGTTCTCTCTCTGGTTTTTCATATCTTTCAGTCGGTCGCGCGAGACCTTTCTAGTGAATTCTGCTTCTCGATATTTCTGGAAAGCAAAAGAATGTGGAATTACGGTTACTGCTAACAGCTAACATAGTAGCCAATTACATTTATTCAATTTAAATATAAATTACCGAGATATCCGTTTATTCGATGCTAAATGCACGTGCTCCTGTATTGTTACTTTTCCGCCATAGCTTTCGCTTAAAATTCGTCTCGCACTGCATTGCACGGGGAAATAAAATAATTTTAATTACTATTCTACTAAAATTAGCTATTTAAATACGAACTTTGTAACAATATGTTCTCAGAAATAATATTCCAAACTAAAATGGAGAGTTGACAGAATAAAATTTAAAACTGGAAATTAAATTTAGAATTTCGCCTTATGTATTTTTTTACCTTTCAGACGCAGAGTGTTTTCCTCTCCACAGCGTTGATCCGAAGTTTTCCGGATCGCTTCACGCAGCCGACGAAATCCACGAGTACAGACGATTTTGAAATTTCATGAAAGGAATCTGTTGAAAGCTTATGCTTAATAAACACTAGGCGCTTCAAGAGGTAGTCAGTCATCTACGGTAAGAGGTTACTGTTACGAAGTTTCATTATAATTTATTGATATTTGGCATGTTGTGCATCAGCCTGCACATCAGCAGAAATATTTTTAATGACAACGTTTTTCAAATTATATTACCGAATGTTAGTAAATTTAATTATATTACTGAATTTTAGTTAAAATATTATTATAAGATTTCTTTCCTAGTAAATCAGTAAAGTAAACGAACATTCGGGGTCGGCGCTAGGCCGGTACAATCTCTGAGAGTCCTAAGTTCTGCTACCGGGTGCTTACCTCAAATCTAGAAACGTTGCCGCCTTAATATTCCGTTGCTCAAATCCTGCTCTAAATCAAAAAAATGCTTAATGCTTCACTAAATTCTAACAATTTTTCCTTCCGACACAACCGCATCGGTCGCAGCGGCTCTGGCGCCGGCCCACCGAACATTTTACGAAACCAGCCTGATGTTTAAGTTTTATATCGGGGTGTTCTTATTACTTTTATTCCATTTAATTAGCTCAAATCTAGACAAGTATTTCATGAGATTTTTTAATATTTTTGTAGAAATTTTTAGTTAAAATATTTTAGAGACATTAGGATGTTTTGGAAGCAGGAGAGATGAATCGCCCAATCGCCAAATCCTGGGGGTGGAGAATCATTATCCACCACCGTTTTCAGTTCGGGCGCCATTGTAGAGATATTAGGATATTTTGGAAGCAGAAGAGATGAAAAATGAGCAGTGCCCTCGCCAGAATTCGAACCTTGGACCTCTCGAATAGCGCCGAGCGCGTTGACCATTACACCACGAAGGCATGCTAAGAAGGCGGGAGAAATACCTTATAATATAACGGTACTGATACGTTATAATACCTTATATATAAGGCGTCTTTCATGTTGATCATTTTTTGTGGATATTCACCAGACTTCTAACTATTGGTGAAGAGTGATATGGTAGGGATTAACTTTGATTTTTATTTTACTACAAAATCTGCTCGTCCTCTTACTTCAAGGGTACTATCCGGTTAGTAGTACGCATTGGTAACTGGGCAAACTTTTTGTTCGCTGACTGTCAAGTTCCGAATGCCTTCTGGGACTGATAAATCTTCACTTTGCTAATTCGGATGGTAGTATACGCAAGACAAAAAAAGCGCCATTATAATAAAACATGTTATTCTTTTCGGAAGAACAAAGAACTTGCGAAGGCGCGAATACATTTCAGGAGATAAGAAAAAAAAAATCGTCGCTTCTCTTTTTTATTGAATTCCGTGACAATAGAAACCTGCAACTGCCAGTCAGATCGAACGTATTCGGCAAGGCGTGCTTCGCTATTGTTAGAACGCGCAAACTGCGTCACGTCCTCAGGATGTCACGTGATAACAAAAGAAGATGGGTCTGTGCGTTTGTTTTTGTTTATGGACAGCTTGAGAACTTTTCCAACTCCTCCCGTCTGCTAAAACAAACGAAATGATGGCTTCCATGAACTTGATACCATGACGTCATTGTCGTTCCTTACGACGTCCTAGTTCAGACAGACGTTGCCGCGGTTGCAGCTTTCCTTCGCTGTTACAGCGAGACAAAAGAAAAGCAGAGACATCACAAGAAGAAAAGGACAATGAACATTACTTGATTGCTGCTTCTGTATAAATTCTTATCTCAAAAGACATTTACTAAATAATTGACCTTTGGTAAATTATTTCAGTAATATTCTTTGATTTTTTCAGTTGTTATGCACTAATTATTATTCGAATATCATACTTAACATCCATGATAGAAGCCCTGTTCTTCACCTAGAACTAATGTTAAATGTAATTTGTTGGCTTAAGTTGTAAATAATTAGTTTTCAATGAGACGTATGTCTCGACCAGTTCAATCAATCGGGCCAGAGTTCTGTAAATTAGGCAAGTGAAGCTTTCCGCATTTCTTCTTGCTTTGAAAGACTCGACGTCTGTACAGTTCCACTGTATAATTTTTTGATTCGATGTGTTCTGATTAACGCGAAGCATCGGTAAGAAAGCAAGCTAAACACCCTTCCGAAATTTCTTTAATTAAGCACCATAATAAAGAATTTTCTTGAACAAAAATTCCAAAAAGAATTCCTAAGACATTGATGACGTTTCCAACTAACTAAACAAAACCAACGCTGTTTCCTCCTCCTCCTTATTATTATTATTTTTTTCATCTCCTTAATAGACGCTGTGTTTATACTGTAATTAGTAAGTTAATATAAAGAACATCATAAAAAATATGTGAATTCAGATTTTTGATTACGCCCAAAGGGATGCTTTTGAGTTATTTTATACTACGTTTTGTTTCATGTACAGTATTTATGTTCAATCTGATACAGTACGTTTAAGAAAGGTAAAATGACTAATTCAGAACAAACAGAAAGTGAGGCTAAAGTAGAGGCTGGTCAAGCGAAATTTGAAATTCAGTTTGGAGCAAAAAGAACTAATTTACGCCGTCTCGTTACTACGGCGGCGAATACGTTCGTCGATATTCATTGTAAGATTGATGTCGCAAGGGACATTCATGTTCAGTTTGGCAAAGTTGTCGAGAAGGCAGAGCGTTTATTTGAAGTAGATGAAGAAACTAAAAATTTAATTAGTTTTACGCATCAAGAATATGATACAATTGAATCTTACAGAGACAAATCTATTGAAATAAGAGCTATGTATGAGAAGAATTATAATCAACATAACAATTTGCTTAATTTTACTCCAAGTAAATTTATTTCCTTTGAGAATGAACGGGGGAACTTTCGTGGATTTGGGTTGTGTGTTACCTTTATTTATTAAAGATCATGTTCTTCGCACTTAAACCATAAAATGCAATTCAACGGCAATATTGCAAAGTAATTTTAAAACGAGTATATCTTTAGAATTTCCGATACGCAGACTCGCGCGCTGGAATAATTTTTTTTTTTTTTTTTTTTTTTTTTTTTTTTTTTTTTTTTTCCCGTTATAGTACTGCCACTGCTCGTTTTGAAATCGTTGAGTTCGTTAAAGTTTTACTGAATATGAAATAGATAATAAAACAAATTACAAATTTGGACTTCCAGATACCCATATTCGGGTGGAGACGTACGTTATTCAAAATTGGACGTTTCTAGGTATCGTGGTTTTATCAGTGCGAGAAACATACATACCTTTACGCAGATTCTTCATTATTTAATTTCTTTAAATACAACACAGGGCTCTAATATTGGGTGGACCAGAAGGGCTATTAATTTGAGCTAAAAATTGGCAAAGAAAGGAATGTAAAGTAAATCGGATATGAAAACTGTAAACTCTAATTCCTACTGCCCAAATAGCTGAACACTAGTAGTTTCGACCTGGGTTCGATTCTAGGCGAGTGGGCTTTCTGCATGGGCGCATTCGTAGTTTTTACCATGTGTAATATGCATATGAGCCAGTTCCCCTTAGAAGGTCCTTCACGAAGGCATCCCTTCCCTTAGGCATATAGTCCTAGTGTGCTTTGCCGTAATATAAATTAGAGTTTAGTTAATTTCAATAAACTAAACTCTAATTCATATTGTTACGCCTTTTTCTGACACCAGTTTTTACGTTATTTTCTTCCTTCACGTTCGAACGGGGTTTGTGTGGATTTGGAATGAATAATCACGACACTTAATGAAGTATCGAAACACACTTTATTTACCAATATTCTCAGGACAGCTCCAAAATCCCGTTTACACAGTCGTCGAAGGACTACAATAAACATGCTGGAACAATCAGCGACACAGACTTCAGGTTATCATGCCATAACGGTGGAGACAGCTTTAATGCAAAGCACCAGAGTACAGCTCTCGACTCTTCTTTGTCGTTCTCGGAACTCCACGTACTCTCGAGGCTCTCCACGCTACAACTCGCGATGCACTTGACGACACATAGAGCACGGCTCCCGACTCTTCGGTTCAGTCGTTCCCGGAGCTTAACACATTCTCTCGACGATGCAGTAACCGCGATACACTAAGAGACTCTTCGATGCACTCGACGACCAACTCGGCTCTAGACTTCGAGACACTCGCTCAATGACTGACTATCAGCTCGCTAGACGAGGCACACTGACCTGACTGCGGACCAGAAGGATTTATATAGCTTTCGGCTTGTGTTCAAAAACATTCTGGGCTTAAACCGGTAAGAATTCGTTCCAGAAGGTTCTCCATCTGTCCATGGCATATTGCCAATTTTGTCGCTAAATGGACGATTTCTCGCCAAATATGGCAACCCTAAACCCATTTTGTGGTAACCCTAAACCTGCTTTGCGGAGAAGCTATTGTACCGCGCCTGGACATTTCGTAACAGTATTTTTAGCATCGTTATCAGAGAAGAATTACAACGTTCTCTATAATAATCTGACCGTTTGTTAACATTCCCAGAAATACTGGTCATTTTCAAAAACGGTGGCCGGGAAAAGGTGACTGTATATCGGTGCAATTGAAGACTTAGTGTTTTTTCAATTAAGGCAGACAGGAACAATTAAAAAATCTTTTAAAATAGACTGGTTATTTATTCTTTCAGTTCGTGAAAGAGAAACGAAAGTGAATTTCAGTGTTTACAAGAATCTCAGTATTAGTATGGATTCGAATTTGATGGATGAGTATAGGAGACAACTGTTATTCATAAGAGTTCACCAAACGGGCGATTTCTCACCAAATGTGACAACCCTGCCTTACCCTGCCATGTTATGGCAATGCTAAACCTTCTTTGCGGGGAGGCTATCTCACCGTGCCTGTACATTTCGTAACAATATGTTTTAACCTAACATTTCTCAAGTTTTTATTTAGCAGATTGTCTTTTCATTGCGTCAACAGAATGGTAGCAAAGACGTAAATACCATAACCTACTTGCTGTCACAATCACAGTTAATTTCTACAAATAGTTACCCCTGTCATAGCACTTACACGCGGTTTTGGGGAATTCAAAGTGATTGTTATTGTACAGGTTGACAATATTTTATCCGTCCATTAACCGTGATCTAGTATTTTTGATTTCCCAGCCTCTAATACTTAAATACTGTAAT